AATCATTATTTTTTAAATACTATGGGATAAAACATATGATAGTCTTCTGACATGAATTAATGCTTTTTAAAGGAATATCGAGGTTAAGTATATAGTTTCTTGTTACCATTCCTTCAATCTTCAAGTCATAAATTAATCTCTTTTCCATTTCTGTAATTTTGTTTAAAGGATGTTATCTAAATTCAACTATATAACATGAAATATTTGAAATTGAATGGACATATACTTATAAAATATTTCCCAATGACCTTTTGATAATTTGGGGGAATTATCAACATGTGAAATTTTAGTAAAATTTACAAATGTGAAAAAAAAGAATCTGGAACATTGGGGTGCTCATAGACCATATGGAAATTCAGCTTCTGATCTAAGAGGGTGAGAATGCACTCCATGAAAAAGCAAAAAATTATTGCTCTAGTGTCTAGAATGTGCAACCCTTATAAGTAACACAAAATGATTTCCAATTTGATAACTTCTGTCTGTCCCGGCAATGATACTTACAGACATTTGCCTATAAACCAGGAGATGAGAGATGTCTCTCTTTATGACTTCCCGATTTTCCCTGTCTCTTACTGTGTCACTCTAACACATCAAAGGGCCCTCCTCCTCCTCCAGGTAGTGTATGTACGTAAACTCCTCTCTTCAATGGTTTCTTTTCATTTTGTGGTGTTTTCATTGCATTGGAAAACAAAACTGTATTTCCCAACAAAACAGAAAGTTTTCTAACTCCTCATATTTGAAATATGTTGGCTATTTTTTATTGAACAAGCTGTTATATAAAACTTTAAGCAGTTGCTTGATATTAAAGTCCCACATTGTTTTTCAGATAACATTTTTTAAAAGATTGTATTTCTTTTTATTGCAAAGGAATACAGGAGGAGAGACAGAGAGGAAAAACTTATGTCCATTGATTTACTCCCCAGGCAGCTGCAATGCCCCGAGCTGAGCCAATCTGAAGCCAGGAATCAGGAGCTCTTCCAGGTCTCTCATACTGGTGCAGAGTCTCAAGGCTTTGGGCTGTCCTTAATTTCTTTCACAGGCCCCAAGCAGGGAGCTGGATGGGAAGTGAGGCCACAAGGGTCAGAACCGGTACCCAAATCCTGGTCCACTCAAGGGAAGGACTTTAGTTGCTAGGTCATCGTGCCAGTCCCCAGATAACTTTTAAAATATTTCTTTCTTTTTGAAATTGTCAACATTTTTCATTTCTTCTTTTCCATGTTCTTTTATTTATTGTTGGGATGCAAGCATCAAACTGTGTCAAGGAAGTTGACTAAATGAGCTTTCATAGTGGATGGCCCTATCCTCTTTTAATTAGGTGATTTCCAGTTAGTTTGTAAGCTTGCTTCTAAAGCTAATGTTGAATTTCTTCACACAATATTTGTTTTATTTATTAATTATTTTATGATTTGCGTATATGCAACATGTTATGTACTTCATCTTTGCATTTCTAAAGCATAGGATGTTTTCCTTTTTCTCTCTATTCCTCCATCCCTTTATCTTCGTGTCTTCCTTTGTTGTTGTAATAACTTTATGATAAAATACAGTCAAATAATCTCATAATTTATGACTTAGTGCTCAACTTCATGAAGTGTAAAACAAGTGAAAAGTTGTTTACTGTTCCACAGAAATACATACAAAGATAGCTGTAAGAAATACTGTAGATACAGTAATGAAACCTTAGGATGTTGATTTCTTGCATTTGCATTCAGTGTGGTATGTGTGTATTTGTTATGTTACATATTAGCTTCCACAAAACAGAGAAAATATATAATAATTTGATTTTTGGAGATTGACTACTTTCCTAAGCATTATGATCTTAGAGGTATTCATTTTGTGAGAAAAGGCAATAGTGATTCTTTCCTTAAGGCTGACTAGCATCCCATGATATATGTAAGCTGTGTTTTCTTTGCCCATACATTCATTGATTGATGAATATCTTGACTGATATTTTAGCCTAGCTATCGTTAATTCAACTGCTATAAAAATAAAGTACAAATATTCTTTCATTTGCTCATTTCACTGCATTGTATAAAAGCCAATGAGGTTGTTGTGTCTGCAGTGATTTGGTTCTATTTTCATATTTATAAGTACTTTCCATGTTAATTTCCATTATTGTAGCAGCAACTTACATTCCCATGAATAGTTTTTATTCATGAGTGATTTTTAATGTATTAAAATATTTGAAATATCTCAGAATTTTTCAGTTTGGCAAATACTCTACATAAGAATAATAAAATATTGTCCTTCTCTAACAGGTATTTGAATTTGAGTTGTCTTCAGAAGACATGAAAAGTCTAGATGGATTGAACAGGAATGTTCGATATTATCCTGCCGATTTGTAAGTAGTTTTACAAAGTGTGTTACCTGAATTTATGTTCTGAGGAGGAATATTTCCATAGTGTCTGCAAAAAGGCACTATGGGCACCACCAAAGAAGACTGACTAAAAGTTGTAAATTAAAATTTACTTCCTCTTCTCCCAAAGCTTCCTAATTCTTACCTGACTGAAAAATTTTCCACAGTCTGATCCCAGGCGGAATTTTTTTTTTTAGTCATCTCCATGCTTGTTTATTTTACAGGCCATTAAGATAATTCACATTCCAGATTTTTGTAGATTTATAAGTAAACAATTAGTGTCAGTAACTAATGTACAGGTTGAATATACATTTGTATGAACAACTGATTTAGTTTTGGTAGCTGATCTGTACAAAATAGTCTTGGATTTAAAAGTACTTGAAAAAAATCAGCTTAGATTGTAAATCCTGTGAATTGTCTTCTGTTCCTTGTAGCAGATTTGTTTGACAATGTTCTTCCCTAAACTTATCCATGTAAGAAATTACAAATACATTTTAAAATTTCAATAATACTTTTGAAAAAAGATCTCAGAGATCTTTAAAGATTACTCATTAAAACATTTTAGGGGGAAGGATGGATGAGTGATACCAAAATAAAATAAAATGTATGTGGTGGTGAATTTCCAAACATTAAAACATTACACTAATAACAAGATCAAAGGCCAAAATAATCCATTATTTTGGGTAATGTTGAGAGCAACACCCAATAATCCTGAAGTATGATAATATTAACTTGAAGTACAGCAAATTATATGAAAAACTATTAAAAATTCAAAATAAGCATAGCTCATCCATTTGCATAAATGTATATTCTCACCATATGAAGTTGTTCTTACAAGTTTGCAAATTAATTTTCAACATACTGAAATCTCCCTCTTTTTTTGTGTTTGTTAAGAACTCAAAACTTTTGTTCACCCTGAGAAAGGCTGACTTTACAACGTTATTGGAAATACAGTTTTCTGAAATATGGTAATCTCATTAGAGATGTTGAAGTCTTCAAAATAGATCATAAAACAGTAACAACAAAACAAAAAAACAGTGTAGAAGAGAATTTGCAGCCAACAAAAGATCCTTACTCCCCTTTTGTCCACTAAGTTTACAGGAGCTGGCAAAGACATTCACAAGCAAGGATTATTATAAGTCTACATATTCAAAATTGAAAGATGTGTTATAGTTATTCATGTTTGACTGTTACAGAGACAAATGAAAAGTACGTCAGGGAAATCAGGTAGACATGTAGTGATGAGGCATGAATAATTCCCACAATCATTCACTTTGCATAAATACACATTTTTTAAATATAATAATTAATTATTGTGTTTTCACTGTATATTTTCAGTAGTTAGGAAAATAGAGAAACATGTGCATTACACAGGAAACATCTTGACACTGAACTCTGTCTTATCAAATAAATCCATTTAGTATTTTATTGAATGATGAGCTAGGAGCAATCAAGAGCATTAATCAAACTGGTGTCAAACTGCTAGCAGTGACATATACATCCTAAATCCTTTTCTTTCAGTGTTAAACAGTATGCGTATGTTTCCTGTTCATAAACACACAGCTGCATTTCATTTATCATTGAGAACATATGTAAGCTAATCTTGAATATGGCTTTGTGTAATTGAAAGATACAATCATGTTAAAAGTATATGTTTGAATTCTTTATTCTGGATGTACAATATGATACGTTCAAGGTAAAGACTATAATGTGCAAATTTTGAGTGAGGTTATATATTTGTCATAAAGTAATGCTCTTTAATGTGAGATTTTAAGATGGAGAGTTAGCTTATTTATTTCAAATTTTTTGGATAGCTCCAAAAAATCACTTTTTTTTTTTTTTGCTTTTAGAATGTAGTCATTGAGTTTAAACTATGCTCCTCTCATTTCAGCTTTATTGGACACCAAAATTATCCATTTTCTGATGAATATTAACCTGAAGACCTTTATTATAATTTCTACTACAAGTTCCTTCCTGTGGACCATGGTGTAGGGGACATGGCAGATGTTGGTGACTGGGCACCCTCTTCTGGTTAATGCTTTCCTTAGCAACTTGCCCTTGGCCAGATTTGTACCCATAGGACATAAATTCATGACTGTAAAGCTTTGTCATTGTGGAAAACTAAATGATCTTTTATTAAAAATTTTACCTACACTCTTATACTATTGTTTGCCTGCATTGTTTTATTCTGACTCTTTAGACCCTTAAACTGATTTGCCTTGAAGTTTGGAGATCGCTGTGGGAAATTGTAGTAGCGAGTCCAAAATACTTGCTGGGATACACCTGGGAATGCCTGTCAGTCTGCAGAGTTTGGAAAAGATTTTTCTGTATAAGCCCAAACATCCTGAGGATTTATATTGCAAGGGAATATCGCAAGGGAATATCCAAGATGCCTAGTCCAGTCCTAAGGCAGCTTTTTAGGGCACCGATATTGCTATATTTACAGCACATTAAGTTTTTTTTAAGATTTTTTATTTATTTATTCTAGATATAAAGTCAGAGACAGAGAGGAAGCTCCAGAGAGACTCCCAAGATGAGGCTCTGCCGAGTCACTGTGCTGATCCAAAGCCAGGAGCCAGGAACATCTTTCCAGGTCTCCCACGCAGGTGCAGGGTCCCAAGGCTTTGGCCATCCTCGACTGCTTCCCCAAGCCACAAGCAGGGAGCTGCATGGGAAGTGGAGCTGCTGGGATCAGAACTGGCACTCATATGGGATCCTGGCACGTTCAAGGTGAGGACTTTAACCATTATGCTATCGCGCTGGGCTCAGCACATTAAGTTTTAAAGTTGCAAGGGATTCAGCCAGGGAGAGTACCTTAGTAATCAGAACTGAGCGGGGTTGAGATTGAGAAACTGAATTCATCTATGCCTGAAAGTGTTGCCAGCAGTTCTTTGATATAAATATTAGTAGATAAAAATTATGATACCCAGCCATCAGGGAAATGCAAATTAAAACCGCAATGAAGTCTTACCTCACACATTAGAATGGCTGTCATCTAACAATCACAAAATAACAAATGTTGACAAGGATGTTAAGAGAAGAAAACCTTCCACATTACTGGTTAAAGTAAACTAGTACTTTACTAGAAAAAATGGAAAATATGGAGATTTCTCAGAAATTTGAAAATGGGTCTAACATATGACATAACCATTCCACTTCTGCGATTTTGCCAAAGGAAATCAAAAGAATATTTGAAATGATCCGTACTGCAGTGTTTATAGAGGCACAACACAAATAACTAATATATCAAATCACTCATATATTCAACAACTTATAAATGGATCAAGAAATTGTGCTAGGGGATAAGGGAACATGGAACTGTATCATAAAATGATAGCAATAATAATGAAATGTTAAAAAAAAGAAATTGTGCTGTATAATACATGGCAAAACACTAGTCAATCTTAAAAAAGAGAAAGAAATCCTTTGTTTTCTGCAACAAAATGGATGCAACTGGAAACCATTATGCTTAGTGAAATAAACCAGTCCCCAAAAGACAAATATCTTATGTTCTCCCTAATTGGTGGAAAATAATATACAGAGCACAGCAATCAAAAGTAAATGAGTAAACTGAATACATTGAGAATTTATTACTGATTAGTTATTGGTTATATTCTTGAGTAATGCTTGTTTCCTACTCACTGCTTTTAGAAATCTTTATTTAGTGGAGGGTTAAGCTTGTGATTATAAAGTAAATTGAAAAAAATGTTATTACCAAAGTAAAAGAAAAATGAAAACAGAAGGAGGAATAATTGGAAGGAGAGATGAATATAAATACCTCTATGCTCTTAAAGCATATACATGAAATGCATGACATTTCTTCATTTTACATACATACATGCTTAAAAAAGAGAAAAAGGGAACTAAGTATGTTGTCAATAAGAGAGTCCTGTAAATCAACTCCATAATTTTCAGTCACTCACCTTCAGTCTCTCTACAATTTATAGCCCTGTATTTAAATTAAGTAAATATTTTTTAAACTAAAAACACACACAAATATATAATTATATGTCTTATGGACTACATATCTAAGCTATACAACGATTTACATTAAGTCCATTATTAGCATCTATAAACAATAGAGATTAGCATAATGTAAGTAATGGATGTATGCAGAATTCCCATTACTATTTTTGTTATATTTTTGTATTACATCACCTTTGCTTGTGAAGTATGTTTCTTGAGGCAACCCAGAGATTAATCTTTTCTTTTTTATCTTCACTTTTTAAAGTATTTATTTAGTTTTATTTCAAGAACATAGTTACAGAGATAAGAGAGAGAGAGAGAAAGAGAGACAGAGAGAGAGAAAGAGAGATGTATCCATTGGTTCTCACCTCAAACAGCTACAAAGGCCAGAGCTGGGCTGTTCCCAAGGCAGGATCTAGGATTCAGGCTCTTCTACCTGGCCTTCCACATGGGTACAGAGGTCCTAGGGCTTGGCCCCTCCTCCAGTGCCTTCAAAGACTATTACCAGGAAGCCACATTGGAAGTCAGCTGGATTTGGTGCCCATATGGGATGCTGGTTCCACAGGTGGAGACTTAGTGTGCTATACCATGATACCAGAATCATTTTTAATTTTTAAATTGAATCAATCAATGCCTTTTTATTGGGACATTTAGCTCATTTATAGTCAGCTATTAATGATAAATAACAAATTGCCCTTGAAATTTTAATATAAGTATTTTCATAGCTTGTATTGAATTTCCTTCAGTTGTTTTTTCACAAGGTTTTCCACCTTCATATTTTTTCTCATGATGCTAATCGACTCCTTTCTGTGGCACATTAATCATAATTTGTAAGACTAGACAGGTATTAGCACATTCTTGAAAGTTCTGCTTATCTTGTACATCTTTATTTCACATTCATTTATAAATGAGAGCTTGGCTAGGTAGAGCATTCTGGGTTGGTAATTTTTGCTTTTAGAACATAAATTATGTTTTCAGTCTCTCCTGTCCCACAGAGAAATCAGCTCTCAATTTGCTGGAAATTCCTCTAAAAATGAAACCAAATCTCAAAAATGCAAAAGCAGGACCATCCTATTGTCTGTCTCCCTTAGTCTAAGATGTCCTCACATGTCCTTTATCAAAAGAAATTCGTTGAAGGCTCCAGCAAGCCTTACAAACTTTTCAACCATTGGACTCAAGGAGTCCTTTGCTCTCCATTAGACAGGAACCTTTGGTGGCCAGCATGCCTGGGGTGATTTGTTTCTGTGCAGAATATGACTGCCACATGCACTTAACCCCCATACCAACTGGAGCCACTTGGCCACCATAAATTCTCTCAGGATGGTCATAAGCACCACTGACCGTGAATTTGGACACCAATTGATCATGCACCTCTCTTCCTTAATTTCAACCCATAAGAACCTTGACCCCTAAATCTTTACACAGGGATTATGCAACAGCTGCTCAGCTCATTGCTCTGTGTACTTTGCAATATAAACCTACTTTCTTTCACCTCCCTGATATCAGTGATTGGCCTTCTGTGCAATTGGTGAGCAGATGCAGTTTGGAAGTTCTATAGAAAGAGCTCCAACTAGCTCGGGCTGTTATTCAGCAACAAAGGTGTCCTGGTATAATTCATTTGAAAATTTTAGAGGACTCTATTTTGTTTATGAAAGTTTGACTATAAGCTACCACGGTGAGGCTGTTTTTTTGATCATGCCTAATTGTGGTTCAATGCATTCCTTCTATTTTTATGTCTATATTTTCCTTTAAATTTGTAATACTTTCCATTATTCTATAATATTTGTATTGTATTTCTCCCATGTGGAAGACCCAGGATGTGCTCCTGACTACCAGTCTTCAATTGAGCCAGGAGCTTCTTCCAGCTCTCCCACGTGAGCACAGAAGCCCAAGAACTTGGAGCCATCTTTTGCTATATTTCTAGCTCATTAGCTTGATGCCTGATTGGAAGTGGAGCAGTAGGAGCTAGAACCAGTGTCAATATGGAATGAGGGTGCAGCAGGGGCAGATTAGCTTACTGAGTTTTCCTATGCCTTTATTCACTAAGTTGATGATGGGCACAGTAGGGATCTAGGCTCTTCATGCAACCCAATGTTGTTACTGAGATTCACATTATACAAGTCTGTCTCTTCAGGGAAGGTCTGGTGTATAAACGACTCAGCTGTGGTTGTTCTAAGTATGCCTGGCTCACAAATCCCCATCATGAAAAGAGCCTGGCTCCAGAGTTATGAAATTGGTGCTAGCTATATTTGCTGCATGGAAATAGAAACTTCTCTAATTGAGGCCTATATCCAGCTCAGCGATATTGGAAATAATATTGGCTGGAAAAATTGGTACTAATAGATAATGCCCAAGGGAGTGGTTTGATATGTGGCAATGATTTTGGCTCTGTTACAATGGAAAAAAACTTTATGTGGAACAAATTCTTTGTGTGCAGTTTTAGCTTAGAACAAAGTATGGTAGTTGGACCGGGGATTTTCAGCTAATTTTCTGGGGTGGAGCAATAGTCCAGAGTGCTATCTGATAAGACCGTAGTGGAGCTCCTCTGTCTAGAGTCAGTGGAGAGAGAGTTGTGCGTTCTGAGTTCCTACTCTAACAAACATGTGAATAGTATTGTTAGTACTGAATCATCAGTTTGCACTCTCTCACTCCACTTTGAAATCTGTCCCTGTGTTTCGTGACCCATGAGCCTTGCTATTAGAATAAACAGGTGACAAAATCAGGAATTTCTCAAGTGATTCTCAGTGGGAAATTTATGGAGAAGAGTATGGCCTTAATACCAATAGAGCATCTTATTTTAAGAGTCTTTGGGGAGGTCTAACACAGCTCTCCCGAATCCATTGTCCACTGAAGTAGAAAGGAATACATAGACCTTGGCTCTGTGGTCACATCTGTCCTGTTAGGTACAGTTGTGCACTGGTCTTAAAGCCTGAAATGGGCTGTGGAAGCTTTTTTCTTGGCAGTTAGGCTTCCTGGGCCCTTTTGATTCTAAGCCATCAAGATGACCTTAGCAGACTGGAGCAGGTGAGAGAGACAGATGTTACCACTGCTCGTGGCAGCAGCATTGACAGTGTACTTGTGCTCTCTTCCAGCTGGGTTATGGAGTTCCTGTGCTGTTCTTTCACAGCACTGATGAGGTCCTTGACTCTTATGAAGCTCAACTGTGTGAATAGCTGTTGCATTTTTGTGTCCTG